GAAGTTAAAATAATTCTGGTGAGATACCTAGTAATGAAAAGGAGGCAATGTAAGGTAACCTAGGTTGTAAGGCTCTTGTTTTCAAGAAATCACCAAACCTCTGATTTAAGCGCTCTAAATGTCTCTGCTGAAGACAGTAAACTGGAAGTTTTTGTGTACTTGAACAGTAGCAATGGTTTAATTCCTTTAGATGCACATCAAACTGAAGAGATACCAGCAAGGCCTGGGGTTTTTTTGTGATCTAGAACCTTATTAGGAGATCTTGAATTTGGTATTGATAATGTTTCTTCCTGGAAGGTCATGTCCAGTGTCCCAGCCGATTTGGACTAGTTTTCCTGAAGCACAATAATGAGAGGCCAATTGTTGGCCAACCCTTAGCCATCCTAGCACACTGTCAGAGTCTAGGAGCAGTCCTAGGGCATTTAATCTGGCAGGAGAAGAATTCTTGCTTTGATTGTATGTAGTGCTATAACATAACATTGTCCAGAGTAACACTAAATCTCTAGCATGCTGTCTGAACTGGAGGAGAGAAAAGACTCGTACAAGCATATGGCTCTATTTTATGTTCTGTGTTGGGAATCTAATCTGTTGATGGTTGTTAGCTATTGACCTCTAACAAATAGCAAGTAGCAACTTTAACCATTTAATACCTTCACACACAACATATACAGTTGTTTTCAGTTATATGGAGAATATCTACGGTGTTCTATTACCTAAATATTATCAGTGCTGTGGGAGTTTTGGTGCTCTCATTTTAAATTGATTCAGATTAATGGATTTATTACAGAATTAAAAACTTTCTAAACTAAAACATCAGTGCTGGGAATTTGTATTTGTAAAAGTAAGACTACAAGTAGGAATTTAATTGTGATCTTGTACTAGCTGTGTGGGTTAAAGGCTGCCTCTTTTAAACTGAGTGTTATTGGGAGCCATATCTGTTTTAGTGAAGTTCAGAAGTATTGCTATTACCCCATTTTTTACAGATGGCATTAATCCTTTGAAAAGTGTGGTCTTTCAAATAAAAATAATGATAATGCTAGCTTAATCATTATGTGACTTGTAGAATTGTTCATTTCTATCACAAAAGTTACAAGGTGAGATTTATAACCTCTTAAGGTGAAACGCTCCATTCTACTTCAGATAGTACTGGACACCTTAGAATAAATATTTCACTTGGTAATCAAGGAGTAATTGCTTTTGGGATATCTTTGACTCAGATGTATTCGAGACCCTTTAATCTGAAAGGAGAATACTGCAGAAGAGAATGATTTGCAGCTCTATCCTCAGGTTCCTTTCTGACAATAAAGAGGATCGGGTCTGCAACCAATCTTTTATTTAAAGCAGTTTTCAAGGTAATTTGAAGGAGGAGCTTTTTTGCAGCTAGACATTTTTGATAACATCATCAAGATTTTTAATTCTGTTCAGTCTTAAGCATTTGTTAGTGCTAGGTGATTTGCTCACTTCCTTCTCCCATCTGCTTTTGTCTCACTCTTTTGCGTTCCTTGAAAGCTCCGTGGAGGAGGAAAGAGTAGCTCTTACAAATGTTAGATCGTGAATCCGTGCGTGATCTGCAGAAAGACATTTGAACTCTTGAGCGGATGGCTTTGTAGGCTGGGTGTGCGGAGGCGTGTGGCCCGGCTGCCGTGGGTGGGTCGGAGCTGATGGGGCTCACCTGGTGGTGCCACCTGGGGAGGGTGGTAGTGGCTGGGGTCCGCGCTGGGCCGCAGGAGCCCCGCAGCCAGCTGTGGCAGCAGGTGGCAGAGATGCCCTCCCTGCCTGCAGCCACCTGGGTGTTGGCGGAGGGGGAGAGCTGCTCCCGCGGCCAGCCCTGGCTTCCTACCCCCTGAGGCGTCTCCCTGGCCTCCACCTGCCGCTCGGCTCGCTGGGTGACTGTTGGGAGCTGTTGCTGCTTCGCTGGCTGCCAGCCTGCGGTGGTCCTGGTGAGTCTGGAGGTTGGGCAGGGGGAGCGACCAATTTGTGTCTGGGCACTCCCCAGACCGAGCCTGGGAGCTGCCGTGGTTTCAGTCATGAACGGTGGCTGGCCAAGGGGACATGTTTTTCCCTCATGAAAGGAGGCTCGGCTGAGGGGATCGTATGCTGTTAGTGACTTTCTGGTGACTGGCATGGTTGGCTTTTATACCATTTCAGGTGTCTTTCCTCTCCAGTTGTTCTTTTGTACCTTGGAACAGGTAGATTTCATGTTGTTTTTTAAATAATATGTGGGGGTTTTCTTTCCAAAGAGAAAGCTTTTCTGAGGAAAAAGCTCGTTTGGTATGGGGCATCTTGCAGATCTTGTCAGACTTAATTCAGTGGGAATAAAGAGCTCCTGCTTCATGCAGAAGTAATGTCTTCCTTCCCTGAAATCTCAGCAAGGTCTGGGAGCAAAAAAAAAAACACCAAACCCTTCACCTCTTTTGGGAAAATGCCCTGTGTGCAGCAGGCAGGGAGGCACAGAGGAGGGCGCCGGGCGTTGCAGCCGCTTCCTGCAGGGGTGGACTGGCGCGGCTCGGCTGTGAGGAGCACCCAGCCGCGGGGGGAGCAGCAGTTGGCAGCTGCGAGTGCTGGTGGCAGGAGCTCAAAAGCAGAAGCTCTTTGCAAGGTCCTGCAGGCACTGCAGGCGGTGGCAGCACGTTGAAGTCTGTGTCATGGCTCCCTTTTACATGCTTGTGCTTTTGGTGGAATGATCAGTAGCCAGAGGTTTCCCCTGGATTGCATTACGTGGGGTTTTTCTGTGCTTAGAAATACCATTGCATCTTAATGACAGCAAATATTTTAAAATGCTTTTCAAAACCACTTCATTGCTGGGGCAGTTGTTAGTATAGCAGGAGCTGGTTTTTGTAGCTTTCTGAATGAGTGTTTTGACTCTTTTGCCTTTGATAACCCAGGTGAATGATTCTGCCGGTCTTACTAAGTGTAGTTTTCTGTTAAGATGATTTAGCTAACGTTGCTGTACAGAAGAATTTCTTAGAGGCTGGAAATATTTTCCCCGGTTTAAGTGACCTAATACCTGACAGTTTCTGTGGTGCATATGCATCACATTCTGTCAGAAACCTTTTTTATTTTTGGCAGATATTTGGGCTTACAGAGGCAGCTGATTGGGGTCACTTTCTTTTAATTGTGTGTGTAAGTCTAGTCTCTGTTAGATGTGAGCAAATCAGACTGTTGGCAAGTAAAGTCCTTGTTGATGTATTTGCTACCAGCATGATGTGCCAGACAGTTCTGTTTTGTTGTTAAACTGGCTCATAGTCCTCACCAAAATTAGTTCAACAGGACAAACTTGTGTACCTCACCCAGTTTAGGATATTTAGATGGCAGAAAGCTCCTCATCTGCCTTTTCTGAATGAGTAGTATATTATTAAAATACCCAAGGGTAAGTGTCAAAGAATTCCAGAAACTACATAATTGTGAATTTGGTTTTGATTTTAAAAGACTATTTTAATATTATAGTTTGCTTGATTTGAAACTTACCAAAAATTTAAAAATAGTGACAAGTTAGTCAGTAACTTTTTTTTCCCCATCTAATTCAAATTATTTTCCTAAGTCTTGCCAGTCTTTTTCTCAGGCTTTGACTTGTCTCTAACTTATATTCTTTGGCGGAGAATTGTTTATTGTATTTGTAATCTGATCACATACACCAGGGCAGAAAAATAGTTCTTATCCCTTTGCTTACATTCTACCATACTCTGATTGCTCTTAAGTAATAAAGACTGTATCTGACCTCAGTGAAGGTTGGAAAAGTTTAGTTAATGTTTGCTAACAGATACAGCTATGTGGGATTCTCATGGTGGTGTCTTAGGAACTGGTCCAGTATGGAGTTCAGCTGTAGGTTCAGTTATACCCTGAGGCTGAGGGTATATTCAAACAGACAGCACCAGGCTTCCAGGAGAGTGCCCTCAGCGTGAGGTCAGGACTCCGGGCAGCCCAGAAGCCACGCTGCCTCCTTCTTTCGGCTGCCACAAACAAACTGGCCAAAGCAGTGCTGCTTCCCTTCCTTGTCCTGGGATGGCTAGAGTTCAGCTGTCCCTGCTAGTGTTTACAGCCAACTGGCTCTGGTTGTGGAACATAATGAAAAATAGTAAGGACACAGTATTCATTTGTATGTAGCCACAGAAGAATGTAACTAAATTTTAGACTAATAAAATAATAAATACCCTTCAGGTAGTGAAAGTGGCTTATGATCAAGGATGCTTTGCTAACCAGACTTGATTGTTTAAAAGGAAAGGAAATATTGATCGTAATGAGATTAAATTTAAAGCGGGCATTTGCTTCAAAGCAGAGATTAAGATCACAGATTTAATTATAGAGAGCAAATTTTCAGGACTTATTCTTCCTTCGGTTAAAGCTAGAGACAAAATTCCTGTTGAAGTCACAGAGGGCAAAAGAATGTGTGCTCCAGTTGATAGACATATATAACTGGAAAGTTATTCATACTTCAATTATAAACTGTTCAGTGGAAGTTTCCATATATTTGGTGTCCCTATCTGGATGACAAGTTGATCACAAGCTATTCAACATATTCTGCTTCAGCTTCTCAAGAAAACCAATTATGTTTACTGTCCCAGGTCCAAACCAAAGCCAGTCAGTAAGGTTTTTTTTGATTGATTTTATTAGGCAGGGGATCTAAGCCTCTAGTTTCCAGGCAGTTTGTTTAAGATACAAATTGATATTCTTTGACAATGAGCTCAGGCCTTCTGTGGCACTTGCGTGCAACAAAGAAATTTGCTGTGTTTTTTGTGGCTTTGATGCTTTCTGGAGCTGGTTCACCCTTCAGCCTAATGAAAGGAAGGAAAGTGCTGACAAAACTGGTGGCTTTGAGAGTCACCTCATTAGAAAAATGGCTTAAAAGCAAGGCATAAGAAGTTGTCACCGCTTTTCTTCTTTAGAACAGGGGAGATGAAGATATAATACCCGTATTGTTTGGGGCCATACTTGGTAGAAGAGAAGGCTTATGAGACAACACTAATATGAAATGCAAATAGAAGTAATTAAGAACATGTATAAGAGAAACTACTGTTGTAATGAAACTATACTATTTCATATGTGCCAAAAAACCCTCTGTCCTTCCTCCTCTCTTCCTACTTCAAAATTACTAAAGTTGTAGAGAAGTAGTTATTGGCTTTTGATGCAAATGTATTTCAGCTGATTACTACACAGCTCTTCTTTATCGGCATTGATTTTGAAAGGCAAAATAAATACTTCAGAAGTGATTCATTTTTCATAATATTAGTATGGTCTTACTTTTGGAGCTTTCTTTTCCCTTGCTGGTTCAATATTAAGTTTCACAAATGGTAATGAAGGTCAACTTCTGAGATTTGTTCTTCTTTCATTCTACTCGAAAATGTAATATAAAAGACTTTTGCTACCCGGTCACGGATCTGGCAGTATGAAGACTTCTCTGCAGTTTACTGACCTTCACACAGAATAGTTTGGGTTGGAGGGGACCTTTTAAGGTTTTCATCAAACACGTTTTCATCAGTCTCATGAGAGAACAGAATTGACCCCCTGCAGGCCATATTCTTGATTGACAGTCCTAATACCTGCAGCAATGTTCCCAATTGGAGTTTGCACAAGTGATGGTAGCTGCAACTCTGTTCACATTTGTTGTATGGCCTGGTCCAGCAGCATAAAACTGAACCCTCTTACTGTGGCTTTACCTACTTCTTACCCAGAACAGAGCTTCACATCATGTCTGCTACCCTCTACCGTGCTGCTCTTCCAAACTTACCTTCTACTTACAGCACAGTTCACATTTTTTCCACCCTGGCTCTGTATTTCACAAGATCTCAATCCTGTTATCCATATCCCACCGTTGTTTTTTCCAGGTCAAACCTGTGCTTGCTGACACAAACTTTGTATATTTTAAAAAGTACTTTCCATACCCATTTCCTACCTCAGTGTAACCGGGCTGTATGAAGGGTGCAAGTAATGTGGCATCACCGGTCCTGTGAAATGGAAATATTTGCACACTTAGCTTTGCAGGTTTCGGTGTACTGGAGATCCAGACCTGCTTTTTCCTTGGTGAATGAATGATGTGAGTAAAGCTGTCTCCTCCTTCTTTGCAATAGTAAAAATAAAGCGGGAGGGAAAAATGTGATTCTACTAGCCAACATGCGATTTATGTTCAGAAGGTTTGATTAGCATCATACCTTATATTAAAAATGAGTAAAATTTTAACTGATTCAAATTAAAATATTTGTATGAATAGTATCCTTGCTATTTGAGGATGATTTAGGATTTTTTCTTTTGCAAGTTGGGATTTAAGATAATATATTTAGGAAGCATCACGTGCAACTTACTCAAGCTATGCTGCATGAAGTTCATCACAAAAAGACTTTTATATTACGTGATATTAAAACAGCAGCAGTCCCACTTTTCTTGCAATCTATATTTCTATAAAAATTTTATAAACTAAATGAATTAAACTTTTGCGCAAAGTTGATATTGCATATGAATTTATACAGCAATAGCTGAATACTCTTATCTATAAACACGTAACAAAATTAAGGATAACAATTAATAGAAAAATACAAGGCATCTTTGCCATTCATGTTTAGTGTAATATATAGCCAGTCATAAGTTATTAAAAAATGCACAACAAAAGCCTGATTAATACAATCCCTTCTGTGCCACTCCATAACTACTATGGATTTTACAATCAATAGCAGGGGGGGAGGAAAAAAGGAAAACCCTAGATTGATAGGGAAAGTGCTGTTTTGTTTTCTACTTCCAAAAACCTTTCTTTCTAAATACCTGAAGTATGTTATTCACACCAGGAAACTGGAATAATTCAGTGAATATTGTATCATTTTAACCACACATATGTAGTTATAAATATATCAACACATTACTAGGTATATAATCAAATTAAAGCCTTTTTTCAAGAAAAGTACTCTTTCATCTTCAGAGAACCTCACACATCTTTAAAGATGTTTTTACTAGCATTAGAAAGTTGTTATTCTGTGAGCTACTGAGTCCCACTTATGTGTCTGCCTACACTCTTCTAACCATGTAATCTGATATAAATCAGTTAGGTTTCAAGGTTTGAGATACCTTTGGATCTCAATTTGAATGCTTTCAGTTCCCAGTGTGTGGTCTAATTTAAACTATTTGCCCAAGATTCCTGTCTCTAACTGTCTAGCCAATAACAGCTTCATAAAATCAAGACAGTACAAGGCCACAGACAGGAAAAAATACGGTTATCGGATAGATTAAGAATATCACTGTTGACTTCAGTGGTGTAGGAAGCAGTAGTATCAGCTAATGTGTTACGATCCAGATCCTCAAAAAGAACTACTGTGCCTTAAATACCTTTCAAAATCTGTGCCAAAAGAACCGAAAGACCATAGATCCACAAAAATCTGTGGGTAGAAGTTAAATGTCTTTTGATGTAAACTCTGCCAACCACATGGCAGTATCATTCACAATAGCAAAATCTAAACTAGTAAAAATAGACTTTTTAGCTACAATCTGTCATATCTTTTCTTAAACTGCCTGGCAATAATGGATGTTGCACAACTGAAGCACTGAAAGTACTTCACACTATCAGCAGAACTCTTGAAAAGATACAGAATCATAAGCTACAGAAGGCTTATAGAAGCTGGTACCGTGTGTTTAAAATTATATTATTTTTAACTTGTAAGAAGACATCTAGCAAGTGACAGCAAAAATGTCAGAGCTGTATTGTTTCATCTGCTGATATAGCCTTAAGTGCACGATATGCATAGCTTTAAATTTGGGGATACTATATATGCATTGAAAATAATAGCTGTTGGCCAATTTCTGCATTCAGTACAACTTCTAACAAGCTCACAAGAATCCTTGACTGACTACAGAAACAAGAAGTAGCCCTTCTACTTCCTTTGCATTGTGATAGTACATGTAAGAATAAAACATCTATACTTTAGAGGGACCTTAGTTTCAAAGTAGTAATATCCAACAGCAATTTTTTCTTTATTGTCTAGACTCCAAAAAATCTTTACAGATGCCTCTAATAAGGTCAGGAACCATCTCCTCCAATCCTGTGAACTCTCTCGTGAAGAAAGTATGGGATTCTCTTGGTTCAGAAGCTATGTCTTTCAGATCATCCAGAGGTGCCCAGGCAACACCGACAGAGAAGACAGTTATTCCTACAAAAAAAAAAAAAAAAAAAAAAGTTAAAACCATTTGGCATATAGATTCAAGAAAAGCACCCATTTCTACATCCATTAATTAATCTGGATTGGGAAAGTGTGTTTCAATACCTGCAGTCTGTCAAAGATGATTAGATTTTCCCACTAAATATCAGGAATTAGAAGATTTGTCTCCATAAAAATTCTGAAGGAAATATGGGGTATCTTAATTGTTTTTGTAGGGACACATATGAACGTAGCTGTTACAATGTCAGTCTTGAAACACAAGTAACGCTGTTTAAAATAATTTAGAAAATAAATTTGGATCCTTTGTATATGCTTAGTGCTTTCAAGCATTAACATTCCAGTAAGCTTTTTTGAAAGAACTGCTTATTTCATTCCTAAAGGATGATGGAGAGCAGGAATCATGCTGTACTGGATGGCATCACTGATGAGAGCCTCACTACTTGGCTCTATTTTTAATCTATTTATTTCCATTCTGTTTTGGGAAATAAGACTGGGCATATGTTCTTCACAAAGCTCCCGTGAGTGAATCTACTCCCACCTGGCTTCACAGCACTGTATTTTTCACCCTAACGGAACAGTTCCTCAGGGCTTACATTTTGCTGCATTTGAAACAGGCACGATACTTGATGAGCTACTGGGGCTGTATCTGCCAACTTTAAAATCTTTAACGTGTACAACACAGCAGAAATATGATCAATCAACTTCCACTACTTTTACAGATACATCATCTACCTGCTTTTTGTGCAGCAGCAGCAGGTCCTCTAACATCATCGTAAGACTGACCATCAGTCAAAACAACGAGGAAATTTTTGTTGGCTCCGTCTTTCATGGGCCCAAACACATTCCTAGTTGTGAAAGAAATGGCATCACCAGTAGCAGTGCCACCACTCATGTAGCGAATGTTCCGGATGGCCGAGAGGACCTTTTCTTTTGTGGTGTAGTCAGTGAAGCTGAACTCGGTACGCTGATCGTATGTGAACTGCACGGCTGCGATCTTGGACCCAATGTCCGAGATCTCAAAAGCCTTTGCAACGTTGCTGATGAATTCAAGCACGAGGCGGAAGTTGCTCTCTCCGACGCTGCTGGAACCGTCTATCAAGAAACCGATGTTGACGGAGTTGTAGCATGTCTTGCTACACAACATCTGCTCATGCGAACACAATTTTTGGACAAGAGGTTTTACATATTTGGTAGTTCCGAACCAGGTGGGCATTTGGTAAGAGAAGAAGCCATTGGTTCGGCAGACAGCCTGTTTGAAAACAAAAAGTGAACAGGTAAATACTGACACGGCAGCTGAACAGATAATAATCAGACAACCTATGTGATTTTCTTTCAAATGCAGGTTAGAAATGGAGCCTGATGGTGGGATTTTGGGGTGGGTTTTTTGCTTATTTGTTTTTAAAGAAATTGAGGAGAAACATCTGCAGTTGAAGTGAGTGAAAGCTATAATTTATCTTATTTTGTCCAATAATAAAGTCAACCCTGCCACCTGACTTCTGGAAACTTCAAATAATTGCACTTTTTTCACAAGAACTCTAACAACTGAAAATTATAACTTCTTCTTGAGAGTGAACTAAATCATGCTACTGAATATCCAAAGGATTGAAAGTTCTGTATTTTTGCTTATCCACTGAAAATTAGTCTCTGTGTTTTCCCTTTAAACTTGGTAAGACCTTTATTTTTTTAATCTATAATGTGTCTCAAACACAGACATACAGTTGGGTAGAAATATATCTCTAGGTCATGCACAGTAAAATTTCTTTTTCCCCTAGCTTCCATAAGGTGCATATAAAGTACAAGGTAACTGAGAAAGGGGATAAATTGAAAATCAGCTCTCCAAGGGGATAACTAATCTGGGTAAGATGGAAATGCAGAAGGGGAGGGCAGGCCTCCGTGTTGCAGTTTAAACCCCGCGTGGCAGCCAAACACTACACAGCCACACACTCACCCTCCCCTGCCTGGGGGGTGGGGGAGAAAATTGGAGGGGTAAAGGTAAGGAGAGTCCTAGGTTGAGACAAAAACAATTTAATAATTGAAATAAAGTAATAATGAGAGCAATAATAGAATATACAAGTAAGTGATGCATAATGCGATTGCTCACCACCTGCTGACCAATGTCCAGCCTGTTCTTGGCTAGCAATCTCAGAGGACAGAAAATCCCATAGAAGAAAGAGTGCAAGCTTCCAAGCCAACCCTCATCTATATATTGAGTGTGATGTTACATGATATGGAATATTCCATTGGTTAATTTGGGGCTGTGGCTCTGGCTGTGCTCCCTCCCAGCTTCTCGTACCCCTACACACTAGCAGGATATGGGAAATTGAAAAGTCCTTGATTTCTTAGCAGCAGCTGAAAACAGCAGTGTATTAGCAACATTCTTCTCATACCAAATCCCATACTGAATCCAAAACACAGCACCATTCTAGCTACTAAAAAGAAAAATTAGCTCTATCCCAGCTGAAACCAGGACACTCGGTCACCTAAGGTCATGTCTTTTTGTGCCTGTAAGTACATAAGGGTTGGGACTGCCTGCAGTAGCACTGGGATCAGCAGGAAGCTATCTTGTGCCTAGAAGCAGCAGAGCTGTAGTGCTTCATTCTGTTAATTCCTTGAGCTATGAAATTTCTGCTGAAGTTGGACATGTGAAACCACCCTGTGAAAAATTAGAGGTTTTCTCACTGGAGAGCAAGTAAAGATCTAGTGATCAGAAAGCTCATGGACAAGTAGGTGATGTTTGTTTGAATTCCTACTCTAACTCATACAGAACAAGATCCAAAACTCTTCATCTAAAGAGAACTTGCTAGGATATGTTTTTCGTATTTCCTGTCCTCTTTGTAGTGAAAGAAAGTAAATAACTATCCATAGAGTAGGTATGGAAAGATACGTCCCCCTGTCTGCCATTTCAGGATAGGAGATCTCGTATCTGCATTTCATTGTTTTGTACTTTTAACCATACCTGAGATAGGAGAATCTCCTCCACTGAGAATCTTCATGTAATTACAGCCCAGGAGCTACAATTTAGCCAAGACTGAACTGAGAGCACAGTGGTATCTTCATGTAGCCCCTTTAGCAGGAAAAAACCCCCAGTGTGTCTTTAACTTTCCTATTCTTTTAAATCACTTATTGGCAATTATAATTTCATGGGCTGTTCTGAGAGAATGGGTTTTTATATATATGAATTCTTATGTACATATATATATAAGAATAAATTAGTTCATTAGAATTTTAGCGTGAAATAAATTATACCCATAACTAGAAAACAAATAATTTTTTCTTACTTTGTCAACAAAACCAATGTCTTGTACCATTCCCAGCTCCTCTGCTGTGGGTTTTGCTACAGATACAATGAATACGTTGACTCCAAATTCTCTGGCCACTATGCCAGCTTCTTCTATATCATCTGAGGGCCAGCCATCTAGGAACACTACAATGATCTTGGGAATTCCTTTGCGTGCGCCATTTTCCAAAGAGAAAAATTTCTGAGCTGTGTGCTTCAAAGCTTTCCCTGGTTTTGAACAGAAAAAGAATATGAAGAAATAACACATACCATAATGGTACAATTTGGTACCATCTTCCTGTAAAAAATTGTGCAGGATTTCTGTTATGATTACGGGCCTAGCCCAGTGTAAAGGTGAAATTTTGTCCCAAGAAATTTGATAATAATGAAGCTTGAACACCTGTAAGTTAAAAACAAACAAAAAAAAAACACCAAAAAAAAAAAAAAAAACAACACAAAAAACCAAACCACCCACAAAAATCCTCCATGGATAAAGCTGAGGAAGAAATCACTGACATTTTTTCACCCACAGGTCTAGTTTTATACTGGGAAGTAGATAGATTAGTGCCTGCCAAATGGATTGGAAGGAAGAAACTTGAGGATCTACCTAAATTTAGCTTGTGAAATGCAATTTATTTGGAACGTTCAGTTTCCTTATTTGGCAAACATCTCTTCACAACCACCTACTACTTATTCCAAGCTTATTCTCTTTAACTAGCCACTGAACAAGAAAGAAATGCTAAGCCTTTTAGATATGAATTTGACTCAAGATACCACTCTGTTACTACTGAAAAGTCAATTACTCTTTAATCACAGGAAGTATTATTTGCACTTCTACTCTAACAAAATGTGTAGTAAGCAACCCTAACTTCTGGAAATGAAATGCAAGATGTGACAATGTTCTAGTGGGAAAACATTGAACTTGACTCAGATGAGTGTGGCATTTAAAACACTTTCTCACCTAACTGAATGGTAAGAACTTCCGCACATATACACATTAAAAAAAAAAAAAAAGTATATATAAACTATATAAATATGTAGAGAAGTAATTTCTATTTACATGGAAGTATGAACTCACCTGTATTAGAATTGCCTCCTCTGAACCCTAATTCCTTTATGGCAAACAAAACTTCTTTTGCAGCAGTGAAATTTTTCAGATAGAATTCAATTTTTGGATAGTCACTGTGTTAAAATAAAACAGAGTAATAGAGTATGCAGTTCACTTTCCATATTGCTATTGCATTAGCAAGAGAAAATACACTTTTAATCATTTTGTTCTTGGTAATATATATTCTTCTCTATATTTTTAATTACTAAAATAGAAGTATGCTCCTCGCTTAATTCTCACAATCCTTAGTAAGAGGAATTATTTACCCAGGTGGGTAAATTAAGAACAGGCTTATTCTTATCGAACAGCTGAAAACATTAAGTTGAAAAGACATGCAGGAAAAAAATTGAATGTGCCACATGTTAAGCTTAAATGCATTTTTGTAATTGAAAACTGACAGGTTTTCTACTATTTGTATGAGAAATACCTGCTTTATGAAAAATTCCTGTGAAATGCACTTTGAGTTATTTAATTTGAAAAATTTTAAAGTATACTAGGCTGCTGACTCTGTAAGAAATTAAAGCTCTTAGATGTGCTAACTTTCCAGATTTCACTTCTGATTTACAGTAGAAAAGAAAAAGAAATTAAGTTGTTTTTGCCATGCAAAGAGTAGAAGGATAAACACCTGCAGGTCAAAGAGCTGCTGCTATGAATAAATAGTCTGATCCTACATCAAAATCACTAGAATGAACCCCTGTGCCAAGCAGAGCTGATCTGCAGTGCTGAATCTCATGGCAGAATAACTGTTAAGATGGTACATTTTTGAGATATTATTATTGCTTATAAGACTAATTTCTAATGAAGAGGAGTTCAAGGTGCTAAACTGATTATTCAGTTTCTCCACCAATTATTCCTCACCTTATAGTATTTAAACTCAGGACCATAAGAGTGGGGTTCATTTCCCCTAGCTTTTGATGTCAACATTTGGTATTTTTCAGGATGGAATTTTTCACGTCCTGGAAGAGCCATCCAAAGCGGTTCAGATGCTTTGTGCCATGGATGTGTTCTGTCTTTCTAGTGACTATAAAAGCAAACCTAAGTCATTAAATCAGACTCAGACAACTACTCTGCTGTTGCCTAAAGACAGGGGAGAGAAGCAGACTGTAATGATGGAAGATGTGATAAAGAAATCCTGTGTTTATCTAGCAGGTGTTTCATCTTCTTGGACTAAGTGAGTTAAAGGCTGCTTTGTGCTTCCTTTATTCCAGAAGCCACAGCCAAAGTGGTTAAGCCTTGAAAAACTGCTATTGCCAAGCACTAGTAAACCAAGCTGTGGCTCCCCAAAAAATTCTACAGACATGTTGGATTTTGCAGTGGCTTTTAGACCGTTTTGCAGTCTGTGAACATACATAGTCATATGAACAGTCTTTTCTTACCTAAATGATTCTATGAATTGTCTTCAAATAAAAAAGTGACCATTTACTACAGTTAATACTTTCAAGTTGTAACCTATAGGATGGCAAAAGTGTTTTTTTGTTTTTTACATGTACATAGCCATTTGTGACAATTATCTCTCTCTCTTAAAGAGCCATCTCTCCTTTGCAATGTGCTTTCTGCTGTTTTACTAAGATGAGCTACAAAACTGTCAGCAGCAGAGGGGCTGTGTCCAGCTGCTCGCTCTATCCAAATATCAAGTATCATGGAGAAAGACGATGATCAAATTTGTCGTGTCCTCTCACATGGATATCTCAGTGTAGCACAAAACAGTGCTACAGCTGGAAAAAGTTTGCTTTCTCTTGCTATTCATCAGCCATTACTGAGTGAATACTCTTCTGCAAAATAGGGATTAATATATGAGTTGATTTCTCTTATTAATCACTTGGATATATTTTGTGTAGATCTGTTCTTACCTGGCCTGTACGACTCCAACATGAGGCCCTTCTGTTCCAATTCCCAACATCACAGCTACTTTTCCAACAAAATTTTTCTGCAAATTAAATCTACGTTGGCCAATGTTGTAACTTCCATCAATGAGAAATGCAATATCAGCTTTACAGTCTGTGAACATCCAAAATAATCAGACTTACTTATCACCAAATAAATGTTAGGGTTTTTCCTTGCAAAAGTTAAATCTGTGGGTTCTCACCTTTGTTTCCAGCCTTTTTATCGAGTGGCTTCTTAGATCTTTTACCTTTAGCGAAGAAAACAGCAGGGATTATTTAAGAACAAGAAGATGAACAGCCAAAAGTGAACCAGAAAACGCTCAGGCTCCAAGAATTACATTGCACTCTATCTGCAGTACAAACTGTCAAACAGTTTAATTATTAAACTTGCAAGACTACTGCTTTGGTCCTTGGGGAATATTATTTTTCAAGTGAAACAGTTTAACCTTCCTTTCTGTACCTGCCTAGCAGATGACTGAAACATAGAAAGCTGGGTGGATTGCTGTAGCTCACCATCCCAAGCGCTACCATTTCTCAATTACCAATCCTGTTGTACAATACTTTAAAAATAAATGTATCTTATGAAATGTCATTTTAGCCAGGGATTCACGCACTGCAGCATGTCTTATTCACACGAGGCTTCCCTTGTTGCAGAGATCTCGTACCTGTAGAAGGACGTGCCGTTGATACCGATCGTCCAACTGCTTCAAGTGCTGTAATTTGGGTACCTGTTAAAATATTGGAAGAATAAATTTACTGTATTTTAGTGCACTTAGATGAAAGTACAAGTGCTTAAAGAATACTGTATTTCCAATAACTTTTCCTCATCATCTGCCATTAGCTACTATGGGAGTAGGACACAGGCCTAGCATAATCCAGTATGGCACATCTCGTTTTACAGGTAATGAACTTATCCTGTAATCTTCTGCATTTGAAACAACAGCAGCTGATGAGCAATAACAGCATATCTAATTGATGAGAGGTTCTGAGCTGTAGTAGACATTATTTCTAGCAGGTAGATTCAGGACTTGATCTGGAGAAGTGGATTTCACTTGCACCCTCACCAAAAGCACCTGTAATTCCAGGTTCTCAGCTATTACTTTGCAATGGACACTACACAAGGAATATTAGTATCTTAGAGATAGTAGGCTGAATTTTAGCTATGTGAACGATAAGAACACATTAGAGAGATCTGTTTTCCAAACTTGGAAGGAATATACCAAAAACCACATACACTTTAACACTTTTAAAACCACCACAACATATATAATCAGTAGGGTTCTTTATACCATCTTATGAGGGTGGCTTAACCTCACTCAGGTGGGAGGGTGTGCAATAACTGGTTTGTAATCGGGCACAGTATCTCAACTATGTGGACAAAAACTTCTGAAAAAAACATTATGTCGCACTGCAGCTTAATGACCACATCACATCTAAATTGACATTATTCCTATTTTGGATGGTCAGTGTTCTGTTTGCAGGGAAGCCTGCACAAGCTCTTTGAAGGGCCCGACAAGTACTGCTGGCTGCACAAAGGCAGGCAGGGGGAGAGAAGGGCTGAAACTGGATGGCTGGAAGCAGTGGCAGGACAGGATTGCAGTAGCAGGATCAAAGCACTGACTTAGATCAGCTTCAACTGCCATGGAACTGCTCTGTCAACTGCCTGCTATCGTGTCCTTATATGCTAAATAACTGTGATCCATTTTTACATATCGGCTTCTATCACAGACTAGCTAGTCTAGCTGGATTAGTATTTTAAGGAAACTATGGAAAAATGAAGATAAAACAATTAATTAAAAGTGAAAACTTTCATTACTGCATTCAGATAGCAATCACATTTCTTTACGCATGCAGGAGCACTGAAGAAGTTTCCCACAATTCTGTTAATATTTCAAATATAGTTTGCAAAATAATAAGTGTGATCCACCTACGAGTCACTGAGAAAGACGAAGCCCATCTAGTGAGCACCTGAGACTGGATCCCATTGGCATTTACAGCAGGGTAGCTTTCCTGTCCTGGGAGAGTCTGTACCCTTACAGCTCCTCCTGCATTGGTGATCACCCCGCTGAGATACAAAAAGAGTTGTTATAAATCAGACATTTTAATCACAAGAAAATGCAATACAATTATACCATCAATACTATATTGGACACTAGCCTCCTGAAAAAGATGCTGTACAGGCAGGCAGTTTTGTTCAGGCTAAAACAAAATATAAATTGCTAAAAAGACTTTTACAAGAAGATATTCTGCAGAGCACCACACAGAATTAGAAAAAAAAAAATGGTCAGGAAGTTCTAGAATTCTGGCAGTGTTCAGACTGACGCAGAAGAGTGATGTTTCAAGGATGTATCAATTCATAAAGAAAAAAGCTGCAGCAAAACGTATTTGAGCTAATTATGTCTCATTAATATTTGTGACTGAAACAAAATTTGGTATGCTTAACTACAAAATGACCAGAGCTAAGAAAACTGGGAAGAAAAATTGCTGTTCATAGTAGTAATGGATAAGTAGGATGTCTTGTTATGCAACTACAGACTGAAGTCAGAAATGGTAAGACATTATTATAGCAGGCATCAGATTACTGATAATTATAAGAACAAAGCCTAAAGCATCTTATTCTTATTCACCTGTAGTAAATACTAAATGTGAAATCTAAAATGAATCAAATAAATAACAATAACTCAATACTAACTCCATACATGTAAGATTCTGAATTGCTTTCATTCTAGACTTGAAAATAGTATATCAACAGTAGATGCAATTCAACTGTGTAATTTTCACTGACAGAGATGTAGTGTAACATACAGAATTGCAGCTTCAGAATCTGGAATACTTAGGTAATAGTTAACAAGTCATAGCTATGTTCATCATCTTAAGTATACTGCAATGTATCCTTAATCTACAGTTGTAATGGATTAATTAAAAAAAAAAAAAAAACAAAACAAAACAGAATATCAAGAAGCTTACTGATTAAAACAATTTGTAAAGTAATATTCAGTATTGTAAGACTATTCTATTCCTTAATGCTTTACTAGAAGGATCAGTTTAGAAACACAGAAGTGACAAGTAAACCTGTAGCAAAATCTGTGGAAGAAGTTTTCCAAAACTGAGAAGAGAGTCAAACCTAAAACACCGTGACCCTAGACACGTTTTTACAAGTCATAGTCTAGTTCTTGGAGAAGGCCACTATACTTTTTCCCTTGTTGAATTTCATTTCATGATTCAACAAACCGGTTTTGAGATTGCCTACCAGATCTGTCCTACCATCTGAGACAAATGAAGGAAAAGCTAGTTTGAAATTCTTATTGATGCTTATGGGCTGAGGATCATGCAAGTATGCAGCAGGACTACAGATTTATGCATTTAGGAAACTTCTAGGTTAAAAACATCCCAGGGAAATGTCACTGTTTTTGCAGGCAGAGGGGCTGTTGTGGTTGGTTGTATTTGGATACTACAAGTGACAATAATAGGCATCAGAACTGGTTAGATCTCATTTTATGTGCTACTGAAGGAACAGTTCTTATTTTTAGAGGCCAAAATTCAACACTGAGCTTCTCAAAGAGGGAGTAAAAGCTTGATGCTTTGTAGTACTTAGGCAGGTACAGTACTATGGGAGACAAACAACCACTTCAAGACTATTTAAACACAGCAATGTGCGCCTCTGTTTATTTTTCTTAACTGGTTGGCTTCCTACTTGAAAAGAGGTCCCAGCTTAATCTGATTTAAAACATTGTGAAAGTAGAATAATCAAGACCAGCATTTAGAAAATCTTGCATATATTTCTGGTAATATGAGCTCTGGGTATCTGTACAAAGGCGGCTTCCACATAAATCTGCTTGTGGACTGCTGTTAAAATACATTCCTCATTCATGGACGTGATTTGCATTTCTAAATTGAACTGTGGTTATATATGTTTAATTCTTGTAGCTTGGAAGATTATGATAGTAGTTTCAAAATATATAGGTATTTTTTCATCTAGAAATACTGTATACGGTATATAGACAGAGGAGCTTTAGAAAAGTTACCCTGAATGACCTTAAAAATCAGATTACAAAATTGGCAAATACAATCAGCACTTTATAGTTCTTTAAAAAACAGTGAGAAAAATCAGACCAGAGCCTCCAACTGGTTATTTTTAAATGACAGGAAAATTCAGTAAATCAAAATTATCTTTGGGAAAAATAACACTTTAATGTATTTAGAATATTTCAGTCCAGTCAGAACATAGTTTCCTTCTCTAGTACCTGGTTCTCTTCGGCATTCAAGCCTTCACTAGCGTCTCAGTCTTAATGCATAAGGAAATATGTGTCAGAAATAGAATATATGCATTTAATTGGAACAGTTTCTAGTTTAAGTTTATACCTGCAATTTTAGTGAAGCTACTTTGGGCTTACATCAGCAAACCTGCTCTATGCCCCATTTATCTCCCAATAAGAGCTTGGTATATCTTCCTACTTCTTTTGTTGTGGACTCACAACTCTTAGCATTGTCTGAATTAAAATGTCAAGAGTTTAATTAAACCCCCCAAACTGTCAAGATGACATTCATACCAAAAGCTGAACCTAAGAATTATTCCTGGAAGCAATGATTTGGGCTTATTTTAGGCACAGTGTAACAAATTTTGTCTGTATTGTTCCATTTTGTCTATTGGTATTTCCATTTTGATTGCCATGTAATCATTCTGGGGAAAAAAGAAAAAATCTAGATAGTCTCCATTGAGTTTGGAAGTTTGCCACTGAAACTGGAGTAGATTTATTTGCTCCTTATCTATGTATTGAAAGCATTTGATCCTGTATTTCATTGCAAGCCAAGGCCCTAGACTGCCTTCTGAAGATACACCATCTCCATATAACAGCTCTGCTATTTTTAATGCAAGTGTCAAGATGATATTAGATGCAAACATAACATGAACTATGGATTTGTGAAAGTTATTCCTCTTTTCTTGACATTTTGTTTAGTAGGTAGATTAACAACTGTTTAAGCCATCTTTTAGATTCCCATCAGTTTTACTTAGGATGTTTCTTCCAGCAAGTTCACTCAGTGCATGCTCATATACGCTTTAGTGGAATAAACCATAATGTCAGTCTGCCTTTGTATTCTGAATCAGATTGGCAAATTCCTTTCTGCAATCATTTATGATTGACTTCAAAAGGGAGATTCATCCTGTGTGGATCTGCAGTGGTATTTAAACAGTGAATAAGTGCCTATGCATTTTCTCGGAATGATTTACGTAATTACAATCTGCTTTGATTTTCACCGCTGTTCTTTGCCCCTGTGTGATTGATTTGTATGCCTTGGCTGTTTTGATTAAACTGGAACTCTGCAGATTTTCCAGGAACAGCTTTCACTTCCTTACTCACTATGTTTCATGCTACTGCCAGCACTCTTTGACAGCAGCTTTATATAAAATCTGTCAGTCCATTCTCTTGCCTGGTTTCACTGTTAATAACAGATCATAATTTATATATAAATGGTATTTTTTCACACAAAAATGCACACAAATTAAACAGAAAAGCAGATACACAAGGAAGCGATCCAGTACCTCACTGCACAATAGCTCATGGAAGAAAGTATGCTGGCCTAAGGCAGCAGAAGATGTGGGAAGGTCTTAAATACAGGAATTTCATCTAAAACGTACTTAAATATCTGAGTTGAGGCAAACAAGCAGATGGGATTGAAGTTTTTTAGAGCCTCATGTGCCTCTTCAAAGTGAAATGCAAGAGCTGTTTATCTGCACTCTCAGAGAAAGAGGTACAGGACTGGCTTGCCTTTGCTGAATTTTTAATGTTTCTGAAGGGGCCTGCACATCAAAACTGATGCCCAGACCACAAAGACACACTTCCAGCCATAGGAGATGACCCTTATAGATGTAACTGCAGTCAGTAGTCTTAGACACAGAAATGGAAAGCTGAAATACCATCTCCTGTTAAAAGAAACGCAAGACCTTCACTTGATGAAAATCTTTTTTCCTCTGGGTAATTTTTCCATTGTTTCTTAGAATTTCTTAGCTTGGTGAAAGATTGGCACTTTTTGCAGCATGCTTATAAACTATTGACTTATTTTAAAATGTTGGAGATGAAGCCAAGTGGCTATTCCATTAAATGAACTTAGTTCTTACTGTAAAGTGAGGATCAGCTAGATAAAATTGTCTAAACATCACAAAATATTGTCAGCGAAACAGACAAAGATTGTTTTTCCCCTTGTTGTAGGAAAGTGTTAAAGAGTGAAGAGAAGTAGAACATTTAGTCCACATTCAAATCTATGCCAAGGACGGGTCCCAAGTCCAAGGGCAGCAGCGCTACAACTGGGCTGTTGAAAAAAGTACATATCGAGCTGATTTAGTCTTGCAGTCCAGAAGCAAAATGTTTGCTCAGAAACTCACAAGGTAGGTTTTTATGCTAATCATTATGCTCTTCATATGCACCATAGGTAGGCTATCTGCTTTTTCAGCAGAAGGGATAGAGCAGGAAGATAAGGCCTGCCATGCTACTCAAGGACATAATTTTGACCTGAAAGTTCCTGTTCCCATTGCTAACAGTGCTGGCTGTGATAGCAGCTGGCATTTCCTACAGGGTCCTTGAATTAAAACAGTTATCCTCAGGGACTTAAGACATCTGAATTCCCATCTTTCCTTCCTACTATCACCAGCTGCCTCAAACTCCTTCCACATCAACTGCTTTTCTCCATTGCTGTAAGAAGCATCTTCCTCTTCTCCAAACTGTGGTCTCCTAACTGCTGTGTGATTGCCTTCAACCACGGATATGGAGCTGCACAGAGTTTCATGCCAGCATCCTCCAGCCCCCCAGGTGATGCTCTTTCTGTCTCCCCTGCACCCTTATTGTTTTGGCAGGAAAGAAGGCTCAGCAGCAGAAGCAGGTACTACTCTAAAGTTTCCCAGGGGAACTACAGCTTCTCAGAAATCCCACTGGCCAGACAACTTTTTTTGTCAATATTCTTCTAGCAAACACTAGGGCAGCTCAGGGGCCATTCATGTTTGTGGTCACTTTGTGGACAGCTTAGTAATATCATGATATGTTTTTGTTACACTTCAGTTCTGGGACCTCAATGTTTAATTAGAAATTATTCCACCCTGTGATTAGTTAGGAAGGTTATGAAAAAAAACTTACATGCCTATTTAGCATCTAAAAGCTACCACACTGGGCTAGGTCTCCATTTAGTGGAACTGGCACCAGAACAGAACTGCACAAGCTGAGAACTTAGTCTTATTTGACCTTCTGATTATTAATCCAATTAATCACTCAGTGGTAGATTTAACTCAGTTCCTCATGCCCACATAGTGTCAGTCTAGTAGGAGATTCTCCATTCTTCCCCCAACAAATAAATCTTTTATTCTTCTGCCCAGAAGAATGATATTAAATAAATATGCTATTTCCCGAGAGTAATTACACATAAAATAAGGAGAGAAAAAGCCAAATATAACAAAGCAAAGCAGGCATAAAGCTTATTCATCTGTAGTATACAGAATCATTTGTAGCTGAATTCTGCTGAATTCTGTACATGCATTATATAATATTTTGTGTTAATAACTGCCTCACAGTAATGGAACTACTCATAAGAATAAGCATTCTTTGATTTATATAAACTCAAGGAATCAGGTCTCAATTTGGACCTGGCACACAAACTAGAGCATATGTGGAGGGGAGAATCTGACCCATGCTCACACAATCATTTTCAGTTTAAAAAAAATAAGCACTGCTCTCAAGACTGGTGCCTCGTGAAACTGTGGCTAGTTGTCTGTCTGTGCTTTCTGTAAGACAACAGCAACAGTCAACTGTAGTGGCACAGGCCTGGTACTCAGCAGTGCTTAAGGTATAGAGCTATACTGCACTCACCATGCAATGTAATGTAGCACATAACTAATTTTAAGCCAGGTTGTTTCAGTTTTCTGGAAATCTATTAAATTCTCAAAGCACATATCTAGTTACATTAGGATGACAGCAAGTTACGATGATTACCTATTAGAAATATCTTTGACACCAACATGGAGCCTAGCCATTGTAACACAGAGTGAGAAGGAGCAAGTATTTCGTATGTTTTTGTCGGATTTTGCAGCCTGTGATGAAATTAGCTGAGAACTAAATAGCTATCACCTCTCTTCCATTCATCAATCCTTTTTTACCAGGACTAGCATTTACGGCTGCTAATAGCTGCAGCAAAACCAACAAAATATTCTCATGTATAAAATTCTGTTCCAAGTATGAAAGGCCAACAGGACTAATAGCCCTTAACTTAAAGGTAGTCTTCAAAAACTAGCAGTTCTCCTTTATAGGAGGTTTTCACCTATACTCTCCTTTTTCAAAATGCTTTACTACAGTCTATCATATTCAGAAGACTCAATCATTATTAATTTCTATCCTAACTTGAAGGCACAGTTTAGAAGGGTGAATATATTTTAATCCCTTCATTGCTATTGGAGCCCTCATTGTTCTCATGATGTCTGCAGAGACTGATTGTTAGATGCAGGTTTTACAAACCAGGGTGCACGTTTCACAAGTAGTATAATATATTGACACTTACTATGGAAAAATATGTATTTTTCTATACTCCTATGCTTCTGGGATGGAGAACAATAACACACATAGTTTATAAGGTACAGACTTCATTGAAGAGCTGAGTGATGTATAAATGCCTGTGCTTTATTATCTAGGGGAAGACTAGGTGAGTCATGAAAAGGAATCTGCATCTTCTCTTCCTTGTACCTCCTCCTTTTCTAAAAAGTATTCCCCAGCTGGGACAGAACTGAGCCCCACCAGCTTTCTTGGTGGGCCTTCTCTAACAGTCACAGCCACCACTGGCATGGGAGGTTCAAGACCGCTGCTTAGTTGAACTGGTTAAGAACTTTTTCAAGTTTTCAAAACACTCAAGTCTTCAGTCCCTTTGGAAAAAGGTCTTGGTAGCAAGAGGGTTTTTTTTCCTCTTTGAGCAAAGACATCTTTGGCAACCAGTAAAGAAATGGAATGTTAAAATAAATGGCTGCGTCACTAAATACAAACACTGTCTTGGGAAAAAAGATAATGGGAAGAAATCTCGGTTTTCCTATATAACCTTTAAAAAAAAAGACATTTGATTGAGACATTCTTTTTCAAATATTTTTATATATACTTAAACTAGGAAAAGCGAAGACCTGAAGTTTAACTTTTTTTTAAGCATTCATGAAGACAATTAAAGCACACTGAATGGAATAATTCATTCTTTCTACAGAAGGATTGAAAGGAAGCCTTTTCTAGCAATAAAATACACATGGAGCCATGTAATTATCTTTGAAATGAACCCTTAAGCTTTAAAAACAAATACACACAGACCCCCACAATACCTCCCAAATTTCTAACTGCCCCTATAATACCTTAGCTCTTAGTCTCCCTTACATCATTAGAGAAATTCTAGACAGAGTTTCTACTCAAAACCCTTCCTTAAATTCAATTTTAAAAGATAGTTTGGTTTTGTTTACTTCAGAATTTAAATACAATAAAAATAGCCTGAATTTTGGAAGTCCTATTAAAAGTTATAGGACTTTAATTGACACTTTAAATAAGTTTCTGGATAGCAATAACAGCCCCCTAAATATTATTTAAACTGCTTAGTACGTATATAATGTCATTTAAAGTATCAAGCAATGAATGTGAACTAAGAAAAACCCCTTAATTTTCCTCCTTTATCTTCAAGTCACTTATTTCTCCATAAAATTTCACGTGTGTTTTTTTTAACTAAAAAAATACTCCGGTTGAGTTCAGCATCACATCACTATATTTTGAAAGTTTTTCTGTTGCTTAGGGATTAAAAAGATTGAAATTACTTCCTCATTTCTTTTAAATACTTTTTTTCACTTAGCATTTTAAGAATAATTTCAGCCTTTCTGCAAGGGCAGCAGTAGTCTTATCTGGAATATAGTGAGATGATGTGATATTTTTGTTTGTTTTAACTGTAGTTTATGCATATGTTAACATGAATGCACCTAGAACCTAAATAAAACTAGTTTTAAGAAGTTCAGTGATGCTCAAAGGATTCTGGAAAATTTATATTGTAATCCACAAATGCTAATGAAATCTTATTCATAGGAACAGGACATTAAAAAAAGTCTCTGTAATGTAGTATGATACCGCAATATAATGATTTGTGTCAAGAGTACCTCTTGAAACCTAAGTAATTTAGGTTATATACATGATGAAGTCTTACTTTTAAATATATTCCTAATACTTATATAATTCTTAGAAATTAGGAAAAATTTGGGCAGGATGATCTAGTCTGTACTTTTGATTCAAGATAGGCTCAATTATAGTTATCTAGTTATTCTAGACTGATGGAGGTCTATTGTTTTTGGAAATTGCACTGTCTAATGCAGTTCCTGTAATATCCCAGGCCAGCTAGTCTCTGTCCTTATTGTTAGATTTTTCCTCATGTCTAACCCAAACTCCTGTTGCTGAAATGTCAGTCATAACACCTTACAAAATTTCAGATCCGCTTTGTGATAGGAAGCATACTGTGAAAGGTCTAAGTGAACAAGTGTGTTGTACAGCCAGTTAACAGATGAAGCTAAAAATCCTCTTTTAATAACAAAAAGCTTTCTCAAATTATTAAACTCAAAGTCTGAAACTCCCTTTAGATTGGCAGTCAGGAATCAGTCCTGCTTCCACAGGCACCTGAAAGATATCTTACTGTCTCCAGCTGGTTTCACCCAATATTTCCTTACTAAAAATTGATTCAAGAGAGAATTTACCTTGCAGATAAGTGATTAAATCCTTCTCTTCCTCAAAAAAAACAAACAAAAACAAAACACCAACCAAAGAAAAAAACCCAACCAACCAAAATACCCCAGATAACCTCCATAAGATATCTACCAGCCTGTTTTCCTTCCCCTGTGGAATTACTGCTTTTCTAGTGACAGCTATTTAGCATAGTTTATCTGGATATTTTTCTTAGTCTTTAGTTCTCTATTTGATAAAGAAGTGAATTCAGCTAGATACCAATCTAGTTAAGAGATCATCAAGTAGACTAGCACACCAGGAAGCAACAGCCAGAAGATAACTGTTTTTGCAAAAAAAAAAAAAAAAAAAAAAAAAAAAAAAAAAAAAGACAAAAACCCCACACCACCCACCAAGGCACTACATAACAAACACTGATTAAAAGTGAGTCTATGGACCACATTCAGCCAAATCATGCATAGGTCTGTTTGCACAGAAGCTTCAACTGATTTCAACAATTTCAGAAAAAAACGTCATGTAAAGCAAAATCAGAAAGTCAGTCTGCTTTTATTCTCCTATTAGTTACTGTTCACACTTCCACGTCTACCAGTAACACATAAGAAATCTTACAGGGAAAGTGCATCTGCTGCTGTGCCATTTCAGAGAAAGTTAATCAAGTGGCTTTCAGGTACACTTAACCACAACTCAGATAAGAATGGCTAGGCAGCTTGTAAGTTTTCTTCCTTGTTCTCTCTTCTCCTAATGACATTCCTATTGAGTTAGTAGGACTCCCAAAGTCCAGAAAGATCTTTATTATGATGGCATCAAAGTGTTAAGATTTAAAAGTGTGGCAAAACTATATAAACTTGCTTAACACATTGATTAGCAATCATCTGACTTACCTGTGTATGGCAGCTCCACAGATACTGGAAAGAGAGGCATAAATTCCATCCCCAAAGACATAAAATTGCCACAGAGGACAGTTTGCTGGGCAAAGGACATCTTCAGTCTCCTTGGTAAGGTCAAGTCCTCTTGTAAAGCACGTAACGGCAGTGGAAGCTAAGGAAAAAAGAAGAACCTGTGACCTGAACATCATAAGGGTCGTTGTTTTTGTTGGGGTTTTGTGTTTGTTTTTAATCTCTCTACCATTTTCATGTTTAAAACAATGTTTAAATTTGAAATTAGGTACAGTGTCTCATCTTCTGCTTCAGTATGTCTGTAAGGATATTTTTGGAGCTTACAAGTGTTCAGCTATGAAAAGGAAGAACACACTTTATTTATGGGAAAGAAATGGCAGAAGGTAGAAAAAGCTTTAAAAAATAAAATAAGAGAAAACAACACTAAAATATCATTAAAATAATATCCAAGGAATATTACAGGGGAGGGAAAGCACAAGCAATTCACATCTGTAACTTTACTGCGGAGACAGAAAGGCAAGGGGAAGGACTTTTGAGGGCTGGTGGAATGCAGGAGTGGGCAGCACTCTCCAAGGGAGAAATTAAATGACTCTGACATCCCCACAATAATCTCCAGCCATAAAACAGCTATGAATCATTTGGGAAACTCTGAACCTTCTCTCCAGTGGCATTCACAAAGCAGGTTGACAGCATCATTTCCCTTAGCTTCTACAATACAGTAACATCTAGAACATGCATATAAAGTCATTGCAATGAAGTTTACATCATTATCATTTTGTAAAAGACTGCCAGATTCACCAAGTGAGACCGAATTTATTTATTCAGCCAAGGTACATGCATTTTTCACATAGAACTCTGCCTTTTTTTTAAAAAAAAAGTTGCTCCTTAGATTACCATCATTAAGATTTCCCTGTGCTTGCCTGTGTGCAATGTAGGTATGCAAGAACCTTTTCTATATGCACTCAGGGTATTAATTTTTCTGCAATATTGAGAGCTGACAGTCAGTGTACCAGTATATACACCACAGCATTATATCCCAACGAGAGTATATATAGGGGATCGGCGATCTTTCACCTCCTTCCCTGTTCACTCTTACCCTGACCCTAACTGAACCCTGCATAAGGGGTTTACTGACCCTAACATAAGCCACTGTTACTTGAATGTATTTGGAGCATACACTGTTCTTATCAGCAGAAGGAAAAGAACATACCTCCTGCTAGTATCAATGACTTTAAAACAGAAAAGCTGAACAGTTACAGCTGGAGGTGCACAAGAAACTGTGTCTGTTCATTCTGGCTGCATATATCTAACACGTATGTTCATAGATCATGCATGTAGTTCTACTCTTAAATATATGTAATCGTCATTAATGCTATACTGAAATTAACTACCTAATCATATCTTCCTGAAAAAATCTTTGCTGCTATTTGTTAGAACAAATATGTGACTTAAGTATGCCCACACAGGCCAGAGTAAGAAAAAAGCAAGCAGTAAATACTTCATTTTTCCCTTCTCAAGATAATTACACTGTCTTGCTAGGTAGACAGCTTTTAAGTGATTTAATCTGATTGTCAAGTATCCTAAGTAGTAAAGAAATTTCTCTTAGGACTTATAGCCTTACCTACTCACATCCTCTCTATGTTTAGTCCTATACATTTGCCTTAAAAACAAGTCTGAAAAACCAAACAGAATTGCCATGCTTATACCCAGAAGCATATTTTCATTGTTAAAGTGCTACATTATTGATGTTATGCTCAAAGTCAATTTGCTTTGCTGTTTTGAGTCCCCTAATCCTTTCATGGAAGTTCTACAAATGGTTAGTGCCCGGTAATTAGTTAACACAAGTAATATCCACCAAATGTCAACGAGCAAAACCATCAGAATCAAAGAGCAGCTGGAAGGCTAGATGAGCTTGGAGGAATCACTGCAATGAGATCCCTGCTAATCTCTGCTCACAGTATTGCTTGTGCCATGCACTCTGCAACATTTTTCAAGCCTCTAAAAGTGCAAGACACCACATGAATTTTTAATGCCTGTCATTTCTGAAGTAGTGTATTTGACTGTATGTGCAGCCTACCAAGGAATTCAAAGACAATAATGAGACAGGTCTAGTTAATGAGCCTTTTATCACTTGGAAATCTGTATTTCCCTCACTACCAGGTATTTATCAATTACAGTCATATGCCAGACTAACATTTTACACAGCGCAGAGGATTGTGAAAATAAAAATAAATCTTGCTGTGTTTTCCCTGGCTATAAAAACGAGAAATCCATTGTAGACCAGCCATGGTATTTTTATGTATTAGCAGCCTAAACACTGTCATGATCCTTATCTACACCATGAGAGGGAAGGGGGCAAGTTGCTGCTGTGTGAAGAGCTGACCTACTGTAGCTAGGGGCTTTAGCAGTTCACACCTCAGCTGGATCAGCACAGAAGTAATAACATACACATCGAAATACATGATGCTGTTAATTAAATACCAAGAATTTCATTTGGGTTTTCTGTGTAGGAAAACACAGTTTCCTATAAGCTATAGTTCTATAACTGAGACTAACATTAGGAATGCTAGGTGCAGTATCAAAATGAGGATTACTGGGTACCAAAATTAAGACTTATAATATCAACTCTGCAGCAGCTTTTGTTCTTCCCTGTTAGCTACTGTATCATCAGCTATCCAACCCATAAAACTACAAGTAGTCTATTGCAAACAGGAAAATGTATTAATCAGTTCCGAATACCAGATATCCTGTTCTTTGACAGCTTACATACTAATCATTCTCCCAAACTTTCTATCTGCTACTATTATTAAAATTGAAGGTGGTTGTTTTTGTTAGTGTATCCAAGACTCTTCATCATGGAAGAAGACACCAAAGAGATAGATAGATAGAGAGATATAAAAAGCCATATGTTTTAATCACTGTAATTTAAGAATGTAAGAGCAGTAGCAGTGGAGGCATTTCTCTGAATACTTATATGATCCAGTACTCTAAATCCATGTGGTTTTGGAAGAAGGACAGATAAGCTTATAAGGAAAGGACTCAGTCCTAAACTCCTACCCGTTCAGGACTCTGATGAAGACTAGACACCTACATTACAGGATATAAAATTAGGCCTTCAGAACTGTAATAAAGCGACCATCATCCCATTCTGTCAAGACACACACTCTTTAAACCTCACAGAAACACACAACGCCAGTACACCAGCAAAACAAAGTACAGAGAAAAGAAAGTGTATTTCTTCCTGATTTAAGCCATATTTAAAGGTAGGGATGAATGTCTTCCATCACTGTTGACCTAAAAAAGAAAAGAAAAGCAAAGGCTCACTTCTCTCCTAAAACATCCATCAAATAACCATGCTTTCAAATCATTCCATCGGTTTCCATCTTTTTGGTACTTCATTCCATGTACTCTGATTTGCCCTGAACAGCTATTTCTTACGCCTACCTACAGAAGCTCTCAATTTTTGACAGGAGTCAGTAATTTAAAAGACTCTAGAAAAATAAAATACATAGCCAAAATCTGAGTTTTCTAACCTTGAAGTTTCCATGCATTACTTTGGGAAAGCAGTTTGTTTATGTAAAGGGGAAAAAAAAAATCCCTATGTACATTATTACAAAAAAAATAAGGAATTCCTAACAGTAAGATAGCTTTACGAGTCATAAAATAGAGAATAAAACCCCTATTATGCTTCTTATTCCTTTTAGTATTTAGGATTGTTTCTTTGCAAAACAGGAAGATCTGAAGTCCTTTTTAATCTTGAGGACTCAAACAAGCTTGCTTTATATATCTTATGCAAGGAATATTCCTATAAACCTTATCCGTACTAGAAAAACAAAATAGAAGAGACATATACTAGTAGAACTATACCTGTTTATATTTTGGGAAACACGTTCACAGATTGCATACTAATTCAAGTAATCTTAAGTACCTATCCTGATCTGGACAGAGGCAATGGGATTTTTAAAAATCTGGTCAGGGCTATATCATCCATTTCAACCTGGGACTTGCCCTTTTCTGATCACGTTAAGGTTGCTTACCATCACATGCCAGTGCTCACCCACCCACCCGGTCCCAGGCGTGGTAACCAGAACTGCTGAACTCAGCAGTATATGTATGCATTTCAGGGGGAGTACAAGGAAAGGTATAAGATCCTTTAAGGTCTCCCTGAGTAGTTATGAGCCTAAATACAGTATATTTTTAAGGAAAGTAATGTTCTTTCATTACTTTATAAAAGTGCTTAAATACTGTTGTTCACAGTTCCTGCAAGCTTCTAGTTCAGTAACCAAGTGCTGGTGAATTTAGGCTCAGAATAACAGTGAGACAGTATCTTACGGTAACTGTTCATATTTTATATTACAAACACATCCTGGTACCAATATTCCCTTAATGTTATTTTAGCTAGCTCCAGATACCTTCCGATTATAGTTGATTCTTCTCCAACCCTGGGAAGAAGCATTACAGAAAACTTCACTTCTTTCCTGACAGACTGTCAGCACTTCATCTGTAATGCACCTGTAAAATAAAAAGGGAAGGAATTGGGGTTGGAGTAGGTTTTATATGGCTGTAATTTTTTTTTTTTCCTTTTTAGCCATAGCTCTCCTATAGCATACAGCTACTATCAGTTTAGCAGAATTTTCCAAATGCTCGACTGAACAAAAATGAGGAGCAAATCCTGCTTTCTAATGACTGTGAAACCCTGAAGAACCGTTCAGAAAAGCTTGAGGCCACTCACCTTCTGCGGGCCGGGCCTGTGTCTGGGAGTGCATCCTCCTGGAAGGTCCTGCCCTCCCTTGGCGAAAGGCTCCGCGGGAGGGGGCAAACAAACTGCTTGCATCCTTCTGGCGTGTTATTTCTTCAGCTGCTTCCTACGGCTCCTGGTACCCGTGGACCAGCTCCGGGGGGGGCCGCTCTGCAGCGGCGTGGCTGCATCCCGGGAAGGCACAGTGCGAGGGGCAGCCCCTGCCCTACTTAGGCGTCTTAAGTACGTTCTTTTGCTTTCCAGGTCGAAATAGCGTCAGGGTAGGTTTAAGAAGTTTTTAATCGATTCCATGGTCAAAAATAGGTCGGAGATCCTCAAATGGCCGAGCAGCGCGCCAGTGCCTTCGTAACACACACAAGCACGCTCCCACTCACTCTCGCCACCAGCACTCCCCGCGACGGGGACACTGGGCACCGCTGCCCTTCTTCAGCCTGTGCCGGGGGGGAGCGTCACCGGGCATCCCCCCGCGGCCAACTCCCGAGGGGGCTGACACGCCGGGGCGGGGCGGGGCCTGCCCGGTCCCCGGCCCCCGCGCACCCCCGGCCCCGGCCCCGGCCCCGCACCGCTCCCCGGGGCGGCCCCATCCGCGGCAGCGGCCGCGCACCCGCGGGGCTGCGGGCGGGGGGGAGCCCCGCGGGGACGCCCGGCTCGTCCCGGCGAGAGGCGGCCGGGGCCGAAGTACCGAGCCGGTACCCGCGGCCCGGCACCCCCGGGCGCCGCCACCGCCCGGCGGGGACGCTCCGAGGGGGAACCCCCCTGCGGGGAGGTGGCGGGAGGAGGGCGGCTTACTCACCCGAGCCGTCGCTGCCGCGCACGGGGCCGCAGAGCAGGAAGGCGCCTGCGAAGAGACAGGGAGCGGGTCGGGCGATGCTCCGCGCCCGCCCCGCCGGCCCCGCGCCGCTCCCCGCGGTTACCCACCGAGGAGCAGGGGGCCGAGCCACATCGCGCCGGGGCGCGCCCGCACCCCGCGGGAGCCGAGAGAGGCGGCGAGGAGGAGAGCTGCGCGGCACAACGCGGCGGCGCCGTCCCGTCCCGCTCCAACCCCGCCGCCGGCCGCCGTCCCCTCCGCGCTGCCCCTGCGCCTCCGCGGAGCTGCACAGCCGGCGGCAGCGCCGCGCCCGCTTTAAACCTTTCCCGGGGCGCATGAGCACTGGGGCGGGCGGGAAGGGGGGAGCGGCCCCGCCGCTGGGCACGGCCCGGCCCGGCCCGGCCCGGCAGGTGCTGCCGCCCCTCCCGCCAGCGGGGCGCGGCCCGGCCCGGCGCCCCCGGGATCGGCGGCCCAGAGCCGCCCCCGGCAGCCGGCTGGGGCGGCCCGCCCCCCGCCCCCCGCCCCGCGCCCCGGCCGGCAGCGGGGCACAGGGACCTTCCCGGCACCGGCGGAGGCGCCTCGGCCCTCTGCCTTGCCGCCCGCACGCTCCTCTTGTTTCCCCTCCACCTACAGCTTTCCAATACCTTGTTTCAGATATCTTTTTAAAGTCACTCCCATGATTATTACCGTTGTTATCGAAAACCTTATTTCAGACACCTTTCTTCCAGCTATCTCGAGAAACGCGAGTGAGCCGTCAGTTGCTTCGCCGCCACACCTGGCTCTTCCTCGAAAACGAGTGAAGGGACAAAGCTCCACGCAGGACCGTGTGCTCGCCCGGAGCCGCGCACCCCCCGCCCGCCCGGTGAGGCCGCGGCACCGCCGCGGCCTTAACGGAAAAGAGAAGTGGGGAGTTGAAGCCTAATTTAGTTTTTCGAACAGGTGGAGGTACCCTAAGCAGCGTTATGGTATCGTTTGTATTTAGTCTATAATGTTTGCGTAAATATTAGGGGTACCTACCTTTCATTTAAGCAAAACTTAAAGAAAAGCAAAAACAAAAACAAAACCACCTTTCCCCGCCCCCCCCAATAAAAAACAAAACAAATCAAAAACCCCGCACAACAAAAATATACCCAAACCAAAACAGAAACACAAAAATCAAACAAACAAAAACCTCTACTTTGGACCCTGCTCCGTTTTCGCTGCTCAATGCATAGATGCGTATGTGGCGTGAAGTGTTAGCTGGCACGAGTGTGAAATAGTCAGATTACTTGTGAATGGGTGGGAAGAGAGGCAGGAGTGCGCTTATTTCAACGAATGCCTTAAAATCGTCGTCTTTGCTGGCTGCCGGCATCCGCTATTTGACTTCTTCTGGGACGGATGTTCCCAGAAATAAACTTTCAAATGTAAATAAACTTTCAGATTTCATAGGAATTAGCGGGTTTGACGAGGCAGAAAATGAAGTGCAGGCATTGCAATCAGCTCCGGGAGCTAGCGGGCACGGCAGCAGCCGTCTTTTGGGAGGCAACCGATCGATGCAATTCGTTTGGCTTTTTTTTTTTTTTTTTTTTTTTTTTTTTTTTAAATAACTAGTCGCATTAAAATGCACTTTGTAAAATATTTCTTCGTATAATTGAAAATAAATATATTTGAGAACCCTGCCATCCGTTCAGAGATATGCCGCCCGTAGAGCAAAATAGGAAGCATGACGGGGTAAGTTATTCGTATTTTTTTTTTTTCGGAGTTTAATTCAAGCAAAGCGCAAAAGCTGTGAGAACACGATCCCCCTCCTCCCTCTCCCCCCCCCCCCTCCCCCGGGTTTTGATCGTCCCAGAAACACATTTTGCTCCTTCCCACGCAGGATTAAGGTGGCGATGCTTCCCCCATGACATGGTCTTTTGCTACGGGAGCATCTCACATGCGAAATGATTCAAGGCAGTTGGTGCAGAGGTCAGGAACTTCTGCCGGCGTTTCTCTCAGCTTCTCCGGATCCGGAGCGCTTGTCAAGGAATTGCCGATCTCCAGTGGGCTCCCCCTCGACAAGGGGCTCACCCGAGTGGGTCGGTCACTTCTCACCCTTGGAGATCAGTTAAAGAGCTGGCAATGGCCGCTAAAACCTGTCCCTGAGCTCGCCTGTCCCTGAGGTGTCTCCCACAGATGCAGAGGGTACTCTATACTTTTCAGGAATGATTCACACTTTCTGTTGCCGCCCTCGGTTCACGGTTTTTGGTTCACTGTTTAGAGCCGCCGTAGTTAAGAGAGAAGGGGGCTTGCTTAATTTTTAGCTTTACTTTTTTTAAAGAAAAAAAAAAAAATCTGGGAATGCCAAAGTACGTGTCAGAGCAGATGCCTGCCGTGCGGCTAGCAGCGCCGGCGGCGTGGCTTCCCCCTTCTCTTCAAGTCAGTGCTGGTGAATCGATGGCGGCCCCGCTCCCGTCCCCGTGCCCCCACGTCCCCGTGCCCCCACGTCCCCGTGCCCCCACGTCCCCGTGCTCCCACGTCCCCGCCGCCGCGCGGGGCGGGAAGGGGCCGAGGGCTGGCTCTGCCAGCCGGGCTTAAGGAGCCCGGCAGAAAAGCGGAGCTCAAGCCCAGCCCGGGGCGGGGAGCGGGGGGGGAAGCGGCTGTTGGCTTGTCCTGGGCTTGTGTCGCGTCCTTTCTGGTGGCGAAAGCAAACTACCCGCCAGAAGAACTGCTTCCACGCGGGTTAACGTGTTTCGCCGCAGTGAAACGTCCCGGGAGCTCTTCCTCCGGAGGCTGAGGGAAAGGCAGGAGGAGCCGGGAGAGGCATCCCATTTATCCCGGGAAACACGGGAAGTGCCGGAACCGAGGGATGCTGGCTGCCATACCATCCAGCCCCACAGAAACCTCTCTGTCCTTTGCCTGAAGAAAGGCTTTGTGCAAAGATCAAAAAGGACAGAAGAAAGTACTAATTAAACTTTCAGCCCTACATACCACTTGGTGAGTGCCCCGTGCTTTGCAGTTCACTCACTGGGAAAACAGACTCACCCCTCCTCATTGCAGTCCTCCTTTCCCTCCTCTTGACATTTTTATTTTCTCTAATTCCCTTCTGAGGTCTTGTGTTTCTGGCTTGCCCCTGCATTCCTTTCGGACCTATGATGCTTTTCTATACACTTTCTTCGCAAAGGCTACTTACTTCATCCTCCAAACCGCTTTGCCTTGACTTGTGCATGTCATCTTCAATTTTCTGTTTAAGAAGTACTGAGCTGTTCTTGGATCTTTCGGTTTGAAACTGTGCTGCCTGGGGAAGGGCATTAAGGTGTTGACAGGAATGCCAGTACAAGACAGGCACACGGGTGCCAGGCTGGCGGAGCGTACGTGCGTGCCTGGCTCTGGGCAGCCGCTGGCAGCAAGGCTGTTCATGCCGTAGCAGAGACGGGCGGTTTGAAGGGAACTTAGCGGGGACGTGGCAAACATTGCAGTGCCTGTGGGCACAACCCGTTTTTTGACACCCTTGGGATCGATTTGTTAATTCACACCATCACCTTCGTTAGGCTCCTTTATGAAACAATCATTTTTGTTTGGATCCTGAATTACTAGCTTGTTAGTAAATCAAACAGAAACATACCCACTTAGGAAAAACACATAGAATAAATAAAAATATTTAAGCCAGAAGAAGGAAGCAGATGAATGGTGGAAGCAGCACCTAAAGCGAAGACTGTGCAACACCAGACTTTTTGATACTGTTTGAGCTGGGTGGCTACAGCCTTGACGCAGCGTCTGGCAGGAGAAATGCTTGTTGATGTATACATCCCTACACGCATACATATCTACAGCATTAAGCAGCACCAGAGCGCAGGCTGGAGCACTGGAGCTCTGCCACCATTCCTGTCCCCGTGTTGGAGTGCTCCTTGGCAGCCCCTCGGCCCCCATCACCCGTCAGGGCTCGGTGCAGGGCTTACACCAGCCTCCTGCTCTGGGCGGCAGAGAGTGCTCCCGGGTACAGACGCGTACGGACGTGGGGCCCACTGGGCCACCTCGGGCACCTCGCCTGGCTTTGCGTGGCTGGTGTCCTCTGCAGAAAGCTCTTCTGCGGCCGGGCCTCAAACAAACCACGGCCAGGAGCAGCACAGAGCCATCCCCCAGCGCACCAACCTAGTAGCTCGGGCACCGAGGAGGACCAGTAGCTGCATGCAGGTCTCTCCTTTTAAGAGTTCAAGCACGACCACTAGCAAACAGTTCCTGGTGGGCAGCAGACCCTCATCTACACACAGTTTATATATTTTAGGTTAGCAGTTTATTTTACACAGTAACTGCAGAGTTCTGTGAGGAGGGACCAGATGTGTGTCTGCCTCCCCCCCTGTCAGGGCTTTCCCCACGAAGGGGCAGGGGACCAGCCACCTCCCACCCATGATCAGTACTGAGCTCACCTCTGCTCTGTCCTGCTGTGTGCTCTCTGGAGTAACCTGAAGGCTGGTTCTTTACGGTGATCTCCAAAGAGACTATCTTTTTTAAGATAAGATTTAAAGTATGTTTGTTACTGTGGGTTCTATTACTGCATTAAGTTAAATAATTATCTTACATGTTTCACTGACGTAAGGGTAAAAACGAAGCCTGGGGACAAGATAACAAAGATGATAGCAAACATATATTTACTTCACATATGAATTTTAAAAACACATATAAAACTATAATGATTATTTCAGAAATGGTTAATGACTCTGGATTCATTCTTGGATGCTTAGCTTGGGATATCATGAAGGCCTTGGTTAGCTCAGAGGTGTATTTTTATTACCATTTCAATAATATTTTTCTACGTGCAAACATTGAGGACTCTTAATTAATGAAGACAGAGATGGGGCTCCAATTCCTTCTGCTGCCCATTTGATCTTCTGTCTCACTTCGGGCAGCAATGACATTGTGCGCAGGAGCAAACTGCTGGTCAGAGCTTCTTTTATTTTTTTTTTTTTTTAATGCTGAGAACTGGGGATGCTGATCTTTGGGATGAAACCCAAGGCGTGCTTTCTGGAAACAGATGATGACTTCTGATCATTTCAAATCCTGTTTCCGCAGCTAGTACTTGTAGTCTGTGGGATCATGCATCTGTTTAGTCAAGAGGCCAGAGGTACTGCTGCCTATTTCTGGGGCACACATTTCTTAGAGAAATATGTAGCTTTGGGTAAGTGAGGTGCATTTTTCTACTTCATATAAACATTATGTTAATTCTGAATGGGAAGTGCCCAGTCAGAGCCTGCCTGTAGTCATACGGCTGTTGTTGAACGTGTGGCTTCTGTTATTCCTGGCTCTGCAGTTGGTGAACATGCTGTTCCTTCCACTTCCTTTGGTAATGGTCATCTGC